GAGCCAAAGATAAGTTACGGCATTTAATTAACAGACAGACAGGTCCTTGGCAGCAAACCGGCACAGACAAGCTTGGGCAGCAATCCAGCCTGCCAAGCTCACAATAATGTTCTCCAATACTAGTTCCTGTGCACACACCCCTCTTGCAGAAGTCAACGCAGGAACTAAGTTGGAGAACATTATTGTGAGCTTGGCAGACTGGATTGCTGCCCAAGCTTGTCTGTGCCGGTTTGCTGCCAAGGACCTGTCTGTCTGTTAATTAAATGCCGTAACTTATCTTTGGCTCAGAGTGTGATGGTGTGGGACGAGGGGGGTCAGAACAGTCATGTGATCAATCTCAAACACTTGGCAACTGGCATGCATTTATGACAAATGCATTGTTCCCCGGTCACTATCTGTAACCTTCCCAGCCAGCTTCCAGCAAGCAAAGTCAATGGGGAAACCCAGATTCACTTAATAACCACACGATTCACTTAACAACTGCAACCTTTAACAACTGTGGCAAATGGAACAAAACTCATTTAACTGCCTAGCTTAGCAACAGACATTCTGGGCTCAATTGTAATCACCTGTACAGATTTCTTTCTCCTATTACCTTTCTGATACAGCTTCAATTTTGGTGAAAACAACCTCCTCCGAGCCATAAATTAAGAATGTCACTAACCTAGTGTGGATACATCAACAATCATAAAATATCCTCCCTCGGGAATAACAGGCTTCAGTCCAACTTCCAGAAACATCTGAGCCATTCGGTTTCGTTTAATTTCCAGCTCTCTAGGCAAGGAGTAGAAATAGCACTCTGGATCATCCATGCGTTTGAAATCTAGCAAAAAGCTTTGGGCTACAGCCTCCTGAAAAGCCAAACCCATTAAGAAAAAGTTGAAATAATCAACATAAACCAAAGACGCCTATGAGATCTAAGTTTAATGATAACAATGCTATCTTTAAATCTCAAAATTGTAATTGTTTTTCGCTAAGAGTGCTCACCAAAATAGATGTTCCATTCACAAGAATCATATCGGGACCTTATTCTATCGTTGGGCTACATTTATTTGAAGATTTTTTTTTCTTTCAACCTTCAGCCTCATTATTTTAATTAATTCAATATGTAGTTGTGTTCAACTTTTGTCAATAATATTATTCCAAATTTGTTTCACCAGGATTATGGTTTTAGGATAATATAAAATTATTAAGGGATCTACAATACCGTTTCATAATTTTTAATTATGAATAAAATCTAGTCATCTATTCATATTCCTCTCTTCTTCCTTGGAAAAGGAAGAAGTGTCCCAAATACTTATAAAGCTTAAATCTAACCACAATATACAGAACACCACACTCTAATATAAAGATTGTTTATAGGTGATGCTTTGCCAAATTAGAATTGTCTATAAAATTACTTGATATAATTGGCTATAAAACTACTGGATAAGTTTCACATCAGCAAAAGTGTTATATAATGATTCTCTTTTTCACTACAGTATTCATTTCTCAACAAATGAAAACCGAAATGGAACAGATTTTTATTTTCTCAGATAACCAAGAAATGGTTATTCCAATGCTGATTCACACTGGGTCTATTCCTTAAAGAACCCACCTACTGTTATTATTTAGTGTATGATGTATCTTATATTGACTTGCAATATACATTAATATTTCTCATAGATTAATGAAACACAATATGACATAAATGTTAAAAAGATATTCAAATATGCCTAGGCCATGTTACCACTGAAACACAGCATCATTTATATGGGGGGGGGGGGATCAGATAACACACTTACAATTTGCATCCATATATTTCTTCCTTATCAGTTTTAAATCCATACTTTCCATATTTCTGACCTCCCAAATGTGCAAAATGTTTTACAAAAACATCATTTCCTTTGTATGCTTTTGTACTTACTTGTAATGGAGTTGGGCAAGTATAAATGGTATTTTGTTGAACAACCTGCAAATGCTTTATCAGATGTGAGGGACCGATAGACCAACCAATCTGAAATGAAAGATAAAATATGCATTATGTGTTGACTGTTTACTTACATTTACAAAACAACAAATTCTAGGAAGCACTCAGGCATACGCTCCTTTCATCTATGTCATGATATATATTCATTGTGCCTGCTTTGCAGATAAATTCACAGAACTTATAATATACAAAAAACATTTATTTTCCCACAGAATCCCCATCAGTCACTGATAGGCAACTGATATACTTAGAGAAGAAGAATTTTCTTTCAGTGGATGAAAAATTTTCTCCCTAAATCTTTTACGAAGTTATTATTGGGTAATGGAAGACAATAGAATCAGAGATTCAGAGGGCAGTAAACCCTTTATTTAAAGAGATACTTTAAAAAAAAAACCACCAAGCTACACTTTCTAGAATTAAACATCTATTTTGTAAACAAGTGGCATATATAATGATCTTTAAAAATACATATACATACATCATTTATGTCTTTATAAATTTCCATACGTTGACATATTAAAATTCCCCTATGGTCATGCCTATTTGAGATTTAATAGAGATCTTAAAATTTATTTGTATACATATGGGATTTATATATGGGATTTCCTTAATTTTTATTTCTGAATGCAACCTTTCATGATATATTTCACTATAGTGGTAATGTTCCAAATCTCACCAGTATATTTTCAATAGAACTGTGAAGATCAAAATGCAGACGCATGTTCTAGAATTAGATTTAGTTCTTCATTCAGTAGTGCCCATCTTTAAATTCAAATTAGAACTACCATATGAAATATACAGCTGGACATATATTACAATTTAAGGTTGATAATAAAAATCTCTTAAATTCAGTTCTTTTCAGCCTTCAATTTTTTAAAATGTCTTTGAGCGTATATAATTTGCAAATATTGGTCTACATTCACTACTCTCAATGTTCTAATTCAACACTACCTAAATATATGACTGTTCATGGAAGCAATTTCTAACTAAATCCATTACCTTCCAGCCAGTTACACTGTATGTTTTTCCAGCGCTTCCTATTGTTACTGTTCTCTCCCACATTCCAGGCAAAGTAGCTGTTCATATTAAAACAAGTTGATTGATATTTTATTTACGAAAAATTATATTTTGTCCTTCTGATACATGGTCACCATTCAGTAATTACATTCTGTAGAGATACCAAATTTCACTTTACAAACAGATATCCATTAAAACGACACGGTAGAAATGATTGTATTTATGATCAATAAAATAAGTTCAGAGCTGTAAATAATGGCGCAAGGTGGCGCAGTGGTTAAATGCAGCACTGCAGGCTACTGCTAGATCAGCAGGTCAGCGGTTCAAATCTCACCGGCTCAGGGTTG